GGGAGGGAGGGAGGGAGGGAGGGAGAGAGAGAGAGAGAGAGAAAGAAAGAAAGAAAGAAAGAAAGAAAGAAAGAAAGAAAGAAAGAAATCATTTGACTTCCATATTTACCATCAAAATGCTAAATAGTTTAGACAACCTTATATAAATTCTGTTCATAAATATATATAAAGAATTTTAATGTACTTTTCAGATGTAGTCTGACAATGTTCCCTCCAAAAGATAAAAGTAACTTAATGAAATCCTCAAACAGAGAAATGAAAAGACCTCTTCTGAATTGTTGGCCATGTCTGTCTAAAGTAATCTCCAAATATACAGATTATTGATGGTGCAGTTGATTACCTCGAAATGTGCAAGGTAAGTCTCTGTAGCTAATGAAACCACATACTTTGGAAATGGGTCAGATGTGCCTGAGCTGGAAGTGACATGAATGTGTTTTCTAAGGACTATCTTTCATTGTACCCAAAGGTTACATGTTAGCTTAGAGAGGCAACCAAAAATCTACCCTGCTATGAAGCCTACAAAACACATCAATGTCCAGGGTGGTTTGATAGTATTTTATATACATAGTGCATTAGTGCCATGTATAACATGGTACTAATAAATAGCTTTCTCATTGGTTTCAGATGGGTTCAACAAGAAGAAAACCATGCCTGTTACTGGAAGTCTAGCAATATAGTATAGTGATACCATGAATATTGAAGGAGACTACTTTATTAAATCAGAATAACCCCTAAAAATATTTTAAAGATTTTTCCTCCTAACCTCGTATAAATATATTCCTCAATTCTTATCACCAAAATTATACTTTGCAACAAATACTACTACAGAATACCACAACCAACCAAAATGAAGAGTTGTGTATCCCATTCTTAATAGATATATTTATGAATGATTTGCTCATCTAACTCTGAAGAAACATTGTGGAGGACATGGCAGATATAATTGCATTAGAGGTTCCTAGAGTGTGCTGTAATATCAAATGTTCAACACATAAAATCTCACAAACATGTCTGGTGAAACATGCACTCCACAGGGACAAAAGCAACAGGTATGCCAAAGTGAATGTGGATAAGCCCACACAGCATCAATTATTTATATTCTATTGAAAACTACAGAGAGTGGGAGAAATAGTCTTCTCCAGGAAAGACATTACTACTTGATTACTTAATAACAAATGTTTAGCCTTGAAAACACACAAAATTAACATATAGACTGAGTAGTAGATATTTAGAAATGTGTGTATATTTGTAACACTATACACATGTAAAACAATAGAAAGGCTTTAAATGTGTAGGAGAGAAAATGGGTTATGTATGAGAGATAAAATATCAAAATAGTAAAAAGAAAGTAAAAGAAAATCAAGCAATACAGAAATGAAGTTTTGTCTGCAGCAAGATAAGGGTATGGAAAAGGGAATTCCCAGCGAAAATGCACAGAGCATATATAATAAACAAGTGGAAAATTTTGATTATGCCTCCTTTGGTAGGTAACCAATAGTGACAAAATAATCAGAAATTACGGGGATTGGAACATTATCTCATTTGGTAAAGTGCTTATGATAGAATCATGTGTTCTAAATTTTATCCCAGGATCAATCAGAAGTAAAGCACATATCATCATTTCTTGTTCCTAGCAGAATATATATATATATATATATGTGTGTGTGTGTGTGTGTGTGTGTGTGTGTGTGTGTGTGTGTCTGTGTGTGTGTGTCTGTGTCTGTGTCTGTGTCTGTGTGTCGGTGTGTCAGTGTGTGTGTGTGTGTATGTTTAAATTGAGTATTTTTTTTTATTTCATGATTTCTTGGGGACAGATGCTAAATTTTATCCTGGAGCTATATCTTACAAATCTTTGTATTATAATTACAAAATACATATACACCACTGATTTTAAGAGATTTTTATGATTCTTTATTTTTTCAAAATAATTGAACCACGTGCTTCAGCAATTTTAGTCTATGAAGAAAAGTGTATGATTATGAAATTATAAATCACTGTCTATATTTACATTATATTCCAATAGTTTTAATAATTTTCCTCACAAAGTTGACACTTCATTGAAATTTTATTATATCATTTTAGTTGATGTGGTATACTCCATATTTAACATATATTAGCATATATGTCATAAAACATTTTTGTGTACTAATATATAAGCAAAGTGAGAAATCACACCACCAGATGTTCAGATGTTGCAATATGAATGAGTTTTGACACACTCTGGAATTTTGATCAGTTTCCAATCATCATTTCATGAGTAGGAATATGCTCCCATTTCATTCCATTTATAATATCCAATGTTTAAGACCTTTAGTATTCTTGTGTATTTGTAAATGCAGAATGTCACTATGATGATTTCTTTGACATTATTTATTAAGTTTAAATACAGGATGCTTAAAATTTCATTCAAAATGTAACTTTTGTTTTGTATCTTTGACTACAAATTCAGTTTTTAGAAAGGAATATACATTAAATATAGAAGATAACACATATGTAAGCACATATTATTACTCTTAAAATCAACAAATGCCTTTACCATGTCTATATGAACTACCTGGAGCTTCTATTAAAAATAGTTAATTAAAAAAAAAAACAAGCAAAAAAAAAAAACCAAAAACATGTTTTACAAAGACAGGAATTGATGTGGAAATTAAAGAAGCCCTAATCTCTGGAACTTTGCATTAAAAAATTAACAGGTATTAATAATGAGCCCTCAATATACTTGATAATATTCATCTCTTTTTGAGAAATAATGGAAATTTAAAAATGAAGAAAAGTAGCACAAAACAATTTAAAGCCACTCAGATAATATAAAAATGTTAATATATAAGATAATAAAACTAATCAAGATGTATGATAGTATGGCTTCATAAATATTGCTTTCCTTATTGGTCATTATTTGCAAAATATGAAATTTCTATCAATGTGAATCATGGTCTCCCTATGGGTTTTAACTAAAATATAACTAAGTACGGGTTTCAATGTTTACATATAAATGCAATTTGCATAAGCCTCTTATCAGTACATATGCCATTAAGGGTTGTATTTGAGAAACACATTGATAAAATTTTATTAAGAAAAGAAAGCTCTCGCCAGGACCCTCGCCCTTACCCTTACCCCCTACCTTTCCCCACCTGCACAATGTCCTCTGAAGCTTGGCAGCTGCAAGATCCTGCTTAGCAACTGCAGATAGACTCAAAGCAGAGTACCATGTCTTCTTAAGAATAGCAGGGAGACCATAACTCAAGCAGTGTACCATATCTTCTGAAGAACTGCAGGTAGATCATAATTCAAGGCAGTGTACCATATAGACCATGACATGTTTCAAGGCACAGGCCAAGAAGATTTTGTACTTTTCCACCACCTGGACCCTCTTACCCCCTCCCCTTGTAAAACACGCTATAAAAAAGCATTTCATGTTCAAAAAAAAAAAGAAATTAAAAAAAAAGAAAAAAAAATGTAAAAAAAAAAAAAAGAAAATATCCAATAAAAGAAAAAAGAAAAGAAAATTAAAGTTTTGTACATACACTGTATATGTATATGTATATGTGTATGTGTATGTGTATGTATATGTATATGTATAATCATTTCATCCAATGAGTTTTGGGTTTGAAGCAGGACTGAACTTCTGTTTTCTGAAATTTCCCTAAATATATTTCTGCCTTTCTGTATTATAAGTTTATGAGAAAGAACAACAGAAGAGCTGTTGGTTACAAAAGTAAAATGTTGATAAATTCTCCAAAACCTTGAAGATACTTTGTATTTTACAGAATCAAATATTCAGCCATGATTTAATTCTTTATGCAAAAATAAACAAGCAGACCCTCAAAAAAAAAAGTGAACATATTACAATTATAATTAGAAATATTATATTATTTTCTCTCCATCCCTTCTTTTTGTTGGTGTTGAGGATTAAATCCAGCACGCATAATAGGCAAGCTTTTTACCACTAGACTACACCCCTAGTCCTAGACTATATTCCATCCCTCAAAAAACATACCCATAAACTTAATAAAAATATATGTAGGACTCATATGCTAGAAACTACTCTGTGTCTGTGTGTGTGTGTGTGTGTGTGTGTGTGTGTGTGTGTCCCCATATCTAAATACCAATACATGCCCCACTGTGTTAGTGGAGGTCAGAGAATAACTTTGGGTGTCAGTCTGGCTTTCGCCTTGCTTGAAACAGTGTGATTATAGACATGCATTATCATACAGGCTTTTCAATAGTTCTGGCTATTCAAACTCTGGTCCTTAAATTTGCAAGGCAATGTTCACTCATTGAATTAAGCCCCCAAGCCATCTTTCTAAGTTATAGTTTTGTGGGTGTAGATTAATGTGTGTACACCCACTCAGGTGTGTTTGAATATCATTTTTAGGTATTGTTCCTCAGGCACCCTTGTTATTTTTGTCTTTTTGAGAAAGGGTCTCACTATTTAACCTCACTATGTACAGCAAGCTGGCTTCGCACTCAGAAAAACAACTGCTTCTGACTCCCAAACTCTAAAATAAAAAAGAGATATGTCGCCACATCCAGCCTGTTTAGACAGGGTTGCTCACTAGCCTAGGGCTTAATGGCTGGGCAAGTCATGTCTGGCTGGACTGACAGCCCCAGGGATTGGCCTGAATCCATCTTAACTGTTCTAGAATTCCAGGTGTGTGTTTGTCACCATGCTTGGATTTTTAAAATCTTACTTTTCATTATATTTTTTCCTCTGAGCATTTCATATCTGTAAAAATGAAACATGATTATATGTATCTCTCAACCCCTTCTTACCCTTCCAATCCCTGTAACCCTCGTAATACATTTGTACTCCAAACTTCATGCTTTCTTTGTTATTGTTTTTAACCAACTAAATTTAATTTGTTTTGTTGAAAAAAAAAAAAAAAAGAAAAGAAAGCTCTCATCTGCCTTTGCCCCAGAAGAAGAATAAAAATAAAACATGACATTATTTATGGAATATCACATCCCTGAAAAATAAAAAAAAGAAAAAGAAAAAAGAAAGAAAGAAAGAAAGAAAGAAAGAAAGAAAGAAAGAAAGAAAGAAGGAAGGAAGGAAAGAGGAAGGAAGGAAAAAAATACACTGTCAAACTTAAGTACCACAGAAATGTGTTTAGATAATTTAAAGGGCTTAATGATAAAGAAGTTAGTTTTCTGGTTCCCCAACATTTCTGTAACACAATTTATAGAGATGATAAGACCGCAGAAAACAGTAGGTGTTTTATGGCTTGCTTCATTTCTCTGTTTCTCAAACTGTATATAAAAGGGTTCAGCATTTGAGGGACCACAATATACATCATAGAAAAGACTATATTCTTAGCAGAAGAGTTAGAAACTGCAGAACTCATATACACTCCAAAAGCTGTCCCATAGAATAAAGATACTATTGAGAGATGAGATCCACAAGTGGAAAAGGCTTTATTCCGTCCCTGGACTGATGAGATCTTAAGAATGGAGGACACAATTTGAATATAAGAGAAAATAATCCCAGCAAGAGGAACACCAGCAAATACACTAGTCACTGTGTAAATAAGAAGAGTATTGATGAAAGTATCAGAGCAGGCATGTTTGATGACTTGAACAAGTTCACAGAAGAAATGAAGGATATTCTGGTCTTTGCAGAAGGACAGTTTTAACAACATCAGACTATGCAGTAGTGCATTCATGGTACTGATAAACAGTGAGAGTAAAACCAGCAGTACACAGAGACAAGGGTTCATGATAACTGTATATCTTAGTGGATGAACTATGGCCAAGTAACGATCATAGGCCATCACAGCAAGTAGACAACTTTCTAACCCACCAAAAATCAATACAAAACACACCTGGGACAGGCAGCCTGTGTAGGTAATGCTATGAATATGTGTTTCAATATTCAACAGCATTTTGGGGATTATTGTTGTGCTTATACAGATGTCAGTAAAAGACAGATTGGCAATAAAAAAGTACATGGGTGTATGGAGGTGATAGTCTAAGCTTACAGCCAAGATAATGAGAATGTTCCCAAAGATGGTAACAAAATATATAAACAGGAACAAGCTGAATATAAATGACTCAATGTCTGGAGCATATGTCAATCCAATGAGAAAAAAATCAGAAATACCTGATTGGTTTGAAATTTCCATGCTGCTCTTGAATATTACCAAAACGAATAGGCAAGATGATCTGAATTTTTTTGGGTAAAGATACAGTTTCATTAATATACAGTGAGTATAAATATTGCTGTTCCACCTTGCACTTAGTTTTCACAAATTCTTTCAGATCACATTATTAACACATTTTGTAAATAATGTCACTAAATTTGATATATTTGAATCTTGAAAACTAGTCTTTTAATTTTTTAGCATGCCTTATTTATAGTGTAAATGACATTAGTAATCAACATTTTATATGCTTGTCCTCCAGTCCTCTTGTCCCCTATACTTTAAATTTCAGTTCTCTTCAATGAATATTGAAGCATTTGAAAATATCGTGGCAAATGATATTATTACAATTACAAGGCATGCTCTTTCCTTGAGAAGTTATCCAAATCTAAAAAAAAAGAGGAAGAAAAGAAAAAAAGAATCACAAAATGCATAGTAAACCCTTTTCTCTACAGCAATGAGCAGCAATACTGGCATGGCCCAGAATTTTTTGAACTACTCATCAAATTCCAGTTCCTGCTATCAATTCTGTTGACTCATGCATTGAGCTCATAAACATAACTTATGCAGTTAGAAAATTATAATGAGTCTAAATCTCATACATTCTGTTTTAAATCTATGACCAGGCTGCAAACTCGTCTGGCTCCCAGACTCCAAAATTGTAACAAAGACAAGTAGCTCACATGATTTATTTTTTTGTAACTATAATAAAACACCCAAACCAAAGCAACTTTTGGAAAAAGAATATTTAATTTGAGAGTAAGGTTACAGAGAAATAAAAATCCATCAAAGTTAGATATAGAGAGAAAACAGGACAGTAAACATCAGGAATATAGTAGGAACATTTAAGTTATCACATTTACAACCACAACCATGAAGCAGAGAGAATTAACTGGAAGCAGGAAATAGGGAAAGGTTATTTTTCAGGGATGACCTATAATCATCCTATGACACCATCTCTGAGAATCTTCTTTATGTAGGTAGAGGAGTAAGCACTAACTATTCACTCCAATATTTAATTAGTCTGCATATGTCAAAGCATGTATAAATATAAAAATTATTTAAATACTATATTAAACATATTTTAAACATAGCTCATAAATTCTTTAAGTAGGAATTATATTCTATAAAAAATCTACACTATGAAAATCTTTACAAAATATTTAACATGTATAGTCTGTTTTTCCTAATTATTACTTCATAATAGAAACTGCAAAGTTGACCACATGAAAATCAGCAGCAAAAGATTTACATATTCCAATTTTCTTTTTTAAGTTATTTTTATCTCAAGAAATAATATAGTCATGATTGAAGTTCTACGTGTTATTTACTTGGAGAAACCTGAATTTTCCTCCTTACTCAGGGAAAATCCCAATAGTGCCATTTTATAAGTCATTTTATACAAACTTATTATTCTTAACTTCACTCTTCTTAAATAACACTGAAATCTGCTGCATTTTAAACATTTTATATAACCAGAAACCTGGTAAATCTGAGGAGATACCTAATACATTTCCATTGTTATTATGAGTTATACTCTCAATGATGCTCCTGTTCAGAGTTTGGCATGTTTAAAAGTGAAAGAGAAAAACTGAATCAGAAATATAAGGCTTTCTGAACATCTATGCCCCCCGCCAACCCCAGGATATTCAAAGTATCAAAGTACCTCTACATGATACTCTAAATATTTTATGAAAACTTTTACTTAAGAATAAGAAAGGACAAGAGAAGTTACTCACATTTATGAGCTGATGTTCTTTTTAGAATCCATATGGTCAATCAATAGCCTTCTAATCCTCAAAATCTGACTGTAGTTAGAAAGTTTCTGGGGAAAGAAATTAAGTAAGAATGTGGCCTTACATGCAGTGTGGGACTAATTTCCTTTTGTAATCAGAAAATAATTAGACAGACAGATAGACACACATACACACCCACTCAGAAAGAGAGAGAGAGAGAGAGAGAGAGAGAGTCTTATTAGAATATACCTCTAAATATCAACAGAAATAAACTACAACATCTGATCTTCTAACTACTTATAACTTGAACTTGTAACTAGAACAGTAAGGAATGAAATATTCATTTCTTCAGACATATAGGCTATAGAAATATCATTCTGAAAAACATAGTAAGTAAATATACACATCAAAAATCTGTTTACCAACACAGTAACAATTTTTTTGGAAAAAAACACCAGAGTAATTTTAAAGTATTATATAAACTGAAGAAAGGTAGATTTCTGCCTAGCAGAAATGTGTCTGGCTGTGGTGGACAGTATTAAGCCTATAATAACGAAAGCTAGGTGTGTGTCATCACAAACTTATTTTGTGACTGTTTTAAGAGATTGTCAGTAAATCAGAGAAGTAAAAAAAGCCTAACTTGTAATTTTATGTATGTTCTTTCTTCATTGTTTTTTGTAATGTAATTGTATGAAAATATCCATCATTGTCTCCAAATTATTGACTGATAAATAATAATCTTCCTAGCATGTCTTCCCTAACAGTAAAGTTTAGAATCACACTAGGATGCTGCTCAGTGTTTGTTCTCAGTGGATAGTTGATTCGACAGCCTCCTGAGACAAAGAGCCACTTTTATACACTAAGCTCCCATGTTCTCTTATAACAAAAAGTTGATTAATGAGATGGTCATAGTATGACTCTGAAAATGTATGTATCACATGGGAACAAAATCCAAAGCTTCCCATTAGACTTAGTTTTCCACTAATACTCTAACCTCAAGAGGGCACTGATACATTAAACGTACACTCAAAAGTGAGACTGTGCCATCACTGATTATCAGAACTCTGATGGTAAAAATGCCATACACTTTTATCTTTATTATATCTTCATATTTTTATTATTCATATTTTGTATGTATACTATTAGATTTCAATTAATAGTCATTTGTGAATTTTAAAGTTTACAAAGAAAGCCTACATAATTTATATTGAGTTTTAAATACAGACAAGACTATAACTACCTGATTAAAATATCCATTGCCTAATTTCAGTACTGTCTCAATATTTTAATATTTTTTATTCTTAAAGACAATAATATTTTGTATTGAATGAAACATTAATCAAAAATACAACTAAATCTCAAGAATGTTTGAAAGAGATACAATGAAGACATCTCTCACAAAATTATATATGTACACCTTCTAAATTATATATACGTACATATATATATATATATATATATATATATATATATATATATATATATACCTTCTAAATTTTTTTCTCCATTTCTGACAGGCAGTAACAATTACGGGTTAGAGTTTTGACTGTGGGACAGCAACCCCATCCCTTATATGATGCCCTGTCTTTCTGCTGGAGGTAGGCTCTACAAGTTCCCTCTCCCCATGTAGAGCATTTCATATAAGGTCCCTCCATTTGAGTCCTGAGTGTCATACCTCCTGAGGTTGCCTATTTCCATTCTTTCTTCTCATCTTCAAAGCTTCAATCCTTCCCCATTCCCACCAATACCTGATCATGTTCCCCTCCTTCCCTCTCTGTCCCCTTTACAACCCAGGTCCTCCCCTCTCCCTTGTGGATGCTATCTTCTCTCTCTCACCTTGGATTGATTTGTCCTCACTTTGGCCCTTTAGCTTGTTAGCCTCTTTGAGTTCTGTGCACTGTACTTTGGGTATTCTACACTTTTTTGGTTTTTTTTTTTTTTTTTTGGCTAACATCTACTCATTAGTGAGTACACACTGTGCATGTCCTTTTGTGTGTGAGTTACCTCCCTCAGGATAATATTTTCTAGCTCCATCCATTTGCCTTCGAAACTCAGGATGTTCTCATTCTAGATAGCTAAGGACTATTCAATTGTGTAAATGAACCACATTTTCTGTATCCATTCTTCTGTTGTTGGACATCTGGGTTGTTTCCGACTTCTGACTATCAAAAATCAGGCTACTATGAACATAGTGGAACAAGTATCCCTGTGAACTTCTGGGGTATCTGTTGGGTACATATCCAAGAAAGATGTAGCTGGGTCTTTAAGTGGATCTATTTACAATTTTCTGAGAAACCTCCCGATTGATTTCCAGAGGGTTGTACCAGTTTGCAATCCTGGCCAACACGTTCTGTCACCTGAGGTTTTGATCTTAGCCATTCTGATTGGTGTAAGGTGGAATCTCAGGGTTGTTTTGATTTACATTTCTCTGATCACTAAGGACTTTGCACATTTTTAAGTGCTTCTCAGCCATTCTATATTCCTTTCTTGTGAATTCTCTGTTTAGTTTTATACCTCATTTTTTAATTGGGTTGTTTGGGTTGTGGGTGGTTACTTTCTTGAGATTTATTACATATTTTGAATATTAGTACTCTATCAGATGTGGGGTTAGTGAAGTTTTTTCCCAATCATATGGTTGCTGATTTGTACTATTGACTACATCATTTGCCTTACTAAAGCTGAGGAAGGAAGGATATTTCATATCCATCAAAGGAAAAATCTACCAAGTGAAAGTCTCAATTCTGATCATCTATGCCTCAAATGCAGGGGCACCCACTTTCATAAAAGAAACTTTACTAAAGCTCAAATCACACATTGAACCCCACACAATAATAGTGGGAGACTTCAACACCCCACTCTTACTAATGGATAGGTCATTGAAACAAAAACTAAACAGAGACACTGTTAAACTTATAGAGGTTATGAACCAAATTGATTTAACAGATAACTATGGAAAATTTCACCCTAAAACAAAAGAATACAATTTCTTCTCAGCAGCTCATGGTACCTTCTCCAAAATCAACCATATATTGAGACACAAAACAACCCTCAACTGATACAAGAAGATTGCAATAATCCCATGTACCCTATCATATCACCATGACCTAAGGCTGGTTTTAAAAAACAACAACAACAAAAACCACAGCAACAAAACCACATATATGCAGAAACTGAACAATTCAATGATAATTTGGTCAGGGAAGAAATAAAGAAATAAATTAAGATTTCCTGGAATTCAGTGAAAATGTTGACACAACAAATGAAAACTTATACGACACAATGAAAGAAG